GGGGGGGAGGGAAGAGAGAGAGGGAGAAAGGGGTTAGGGAGGGGAGGGGCAGAGAGAGTAAGAGCAAGGAGAGGGCAGACAGCACCTTTTATGGTAAGCCAGACATATCTGGCTGTTGCCAGGTAACTGTGGGGCGGAGCCTAGAAGGAATGCTATCAGTTGGACCTCAAGAATTGATAAAAATGACAGTAGATGTCTAGAACTTCCAGCCATGGGCCCAGGGCCCCAGAAACAAAGGAGGGGACACCCAGGTTCAGCCTAACAATACCGCCCCCCACCCCCCTGCTCCTAGAAGACAACTGGAGAAAAGAGTAGATTGTGGCCACATTCAAAACTGCAGAAATCAGTCACCAAGCTACCCAAGGCAAGAAGGGAGGGACCCATGTGCAATTAAAATGCTGCTGTGAACTGGAAGTGCCTCAGTGGAGTCCCTGTGTTCCTGTCAATGGCGCTGGTTGCTTATCCCTTCTAACAGTATCATAACACACCTCCCTCTGGCACTGACTTCACTTACTTGGGGTCACTGTCACACTCAGAATGTGCCAGAATGCACAGTCTGTCTTACTCCTTTTTCTTACATATATTTCCTGAGAACTTCTTTTTTTTTAATTTTTTTTAAAGATTTATTTATTTTATGTATATGAGTACACTGTCTCTGTCTTCAGACACACCAGAAGAGGGCATCAGATCCCATTACAGATGGTCATGAACCACCATGTGGTTGCTGGGATTTGAACTCAGGACCTCTGGAAGAGCAGTCAGTACGCTTATCTTACCCTCTGAGCCCCCTGAGCACTTCTTATGTGAAAGACAATGTGTTTGGCATGAAGGCTTCAAAGAGAAACAATTTTCATCAGGGCTGGAAAGACGGCTTTGTGGCTTAGAGTTCTTTCACATAAGAACTCTTCTTCCAGAGGACCCTAGTTTGGTTTCCAGTATCCATGTCAGGCAGCTCATAGCCACCTGTAACTCAAGCTCCATGGGACCCAGTATTTTCTTTTAGACTCTAAAAGCATCCATACGCATACCTGTACCCCCTCACACAGACAAACACACATATTTTTAAAATTTTAAAGAATTAAAGAACAATCCCTATCCATGGGACCCAGGGAGAACCTGGGGAGGGACAGAGTTGAGTCTTGCCAGTGAGTAGAGGGGACGGACAGGGGAACAGGAGAGGATGGGGACAGGACAGACCTAGTAGTGCAGACAGACACAGGGGAGGTTTTGCTGGTCAGTGTGGAGGGGCAAGCAGAGAGAAAGAGAATCCTGGGACAAGGCACCAGCACAAAGCAAGGCAGACCCTGAGTTCAACCATCTCCCATCTCCTGCTGGCCTCGGATGGCTGGGGATCAAGATAGGGCCTGAAGGGCACCTGCCAGGAGGCTGCTGCTGTTACAGAGAAGAGAGCAGTGAAGACCAGGATGGATAAAGGTGGGTAGAGAACAGGGAGAAACTGGAGAGACAGAGGATACAAAACAGACTTCATCACCAGAGGTGGAGGCGGGAGAGGGAAATCTGGGCTGAAAGCCATGTTTCTAGCTAAGACAACATGCTCAGTGTACACACACACACACACACACACACACACACAGGCTCCCTCCCTGGTAGTCCCTGGCACTGAAGTTCTACCATGACCCGGAGCAGGACAACTCCAGGCCAGGTTTTCCCCTCAGCCTGCGAAGAAAAGGTTAGCTAGAACAAGCCTAGGGCTTACCTTTCCCAGGTAGGTGAAGAGCACAGCCTCTGGGGTCAGCTCCCCACTCTGTAACTTCTGTACCAGCTGGAGCAGGGGCAGGGCCAGCAAAGCCTCTGAGTCCAGGTCAGGGTTCTGTGGGTAACACAGTACATCAACCTCACACATGCAACTTTCTTTTCCCCAATAATTTATTTATTCACTTCACATACGGATCTCACTCCCTCTCCTCCCAATCCCCCCACCTCGCGCAGCCCCTCCTCCCTTTCTCCATCCCCTTGTGAGTCTGCCATTCAGGCCTCACTGTAAACGTGCAGTTGCTCACTGTCACCTGCTAACGTCCCTGACAGAAGGTACCACCTGCAGCTCTGACACTAGAAACCAGATCCTACCCTAGGTAGGCTTTTGACACGCCAGGCTAGTGCAAATATAGCCTCTGGACAACTGCTGGAGATGGAACGCGGTGAGGGACACTGAGATACGGGGCGTTGGTTGCATCCAGCACCCCTGCCTCCGCCTGCCAGGCACAGTGCTGAATAGGGTTTGATGCTTTGGGTCCCCACCCCCACTCACATGGTTATTTTTCATTTTCTTCTATTTCTGACAGTTTTTCCCCGTTATATAATGCATTGGGATCATATTCCCACCCCCCATTATCTTTTCTCATTTCTGATCTCCCTCCCCCTTGCCCCACCGCACTCCATGCACGCACGCGCGCGTGCCCGAGTGCACACACACATCTGTTGACCTCCTTCTTCCCAACTCTCCCTGCTCCCACTTTCTTCATGGTACTTTTTTGGTTGGTTGGTTGGTTGGTTGGTTTCTGTTTGTGTGATGGCAGTGGAGGCAGTGTGTGTGTCCAAATCACATACAGCTGCTGTGTGCTTACCACTGTAACAGCCATGACAGACCCAGCCAGAAGATTTTACAGTGTTCCTCCCCAATTGGATTTATTTATTTTGTTTGTTTGTTTGTTTGTTTGTTTGAGACAGGTTCTTGCTATATAGACCATGCTAGCCTCAAGTTCACAAATCTGCCTGCCTCTTCCAAGTGCCAGGAATAAACCTGGTTATATTTGTTTTTGGTTTTTTTTTTTTTTTTTTTTTTTAAGAGAAGGTCTTCGTTATGACCGGGCTAGCCTTGAGCTTTCAAGATCTTCCTGCCCCACTCCTCAAAAGAGATAGAATTACTAGCTTTAACACCAAGTCTATGACCTTCTATGTCTTAATTAACTTTTTGGGGGAGAGAGGTGTTCAAGACAAGGTTTCTCTGGGTAGCCCTGGCTGTCCTGGAACTCTCTCTATAGACCAGGCTGGCCCACCTGCCTCTGCCTCCTGAATCACCACTAAGGGTGTGCGTCCCCACCGCCTGGCATCTTGATGAACTCTTACTAACATTTCCATTGCACAGATCTATAGAGACTGAAACTAAAATAAGAGAAGTGCTGTGTTTAGGACCAGAAAGGTAAAGAGTGGGGCTGAAGGGATGGCTCAGCGGCGGAGAACATTCACCCGTGCAAAGGATCTGGGGTTGGTTTACATGATGGCTCACAACCATCTAACTCCAGTTCTTGGAGATCTGATGCCTTCTTTTGACCTCTGCAGGCACCAGGCATGATGCAGTGCTCATATACATATGCAAGCAAAACACTCATAGACATGAAATAAATCCTTTTGTTTGTTTGTTTGAGACAGGGTTTCTCTGTGTAGCCCTGGCTGTCCAGGAACTCACTCTGTAGACCAGGCTGGCCTCGAACTCAGAAATCCGCCTGCCTCTGCCTCCCAAGTGCTAGGATTAAAGGCATGTGCCACCACTGCCTGGCAATAAATCCTTTTTTTAAAGAAAGGTAGGCAGTGATGTCTTACCCACCCGGCACAGGACACCCACTGTATACAAGCCCTAGCAGGGAAGTGCAACCACAAGAAAGGCCCCAGTAAGATTCAAGGTGTCTGGCTGAAGACCACACCCAAAGGGAGATAATTGGCACACCCATTTCTAGACAAGTTCTGAAGAGCCTGCTCAGTATCTAACACCACAGCAGTAAACAAAAAGCTATGCCCACATGAGCTTATGTGAGGCAGGGGCAGAACTGAGAAATAATAAGTAACTGTGCTGATTAGATTTTTTTGTCAACTCGACACAAGCTAGTCATCTAAGAAGACAGAGCCTCAGCTGAGGAATTGCCTCCTCATCAGACTAGCGTGTCTGTGGGGCATTGTCTTAATTAATGACTGTAGGCAGTGCCAACTCTGGACAGGTGGTTCTTAGTGCTGTAAGAAAGCCAGCTGAGCAAGCCCAGGAAAACAAACTAATAAACAGTGTTCCCCATGATCTCTGCCTCAGCTCTTGCCTGGAGTTCCCGCTTTGCCTTTCCCCAATGATGGACTGACTATAACCTATAAGCTGTAATAAACCCAACTTACTTCAGGTCATGCTGTTAATCACAGCATCAGGAAACACAAACTGTTACACAATCAAATACAAATTTTAGATAGTGCCAGATTGAAAAAAAAAAAACAGGGTTTGGTGGGGGGTGGAAGAACTTCTAAGGAAGGAAGTTCCAAACCACACCCATGTCCCAGGCCCCTGAGGCCAGCTCTACCCACAAACATCCTCCTGGGTCCTCCTCAATGGTGTTAGACCAATTAGTGAATACTGAATCACCACCTTACTACTCAGCCCACCCCTCCTGCTTCTGCCATCTCCAGATCCACCCAGTACTTCAGCACATCTTCCTCCAGGCTTTGCTGAGGTCTTCAGAGGCATCAGACCATAAGCCACTGCCTTCTGTTTCTCTTGGGTAGAGATACTACACTCCTCGGTCCCTCCCTGCATTACTCATTCTTCTGATCATTTGGCAAACAGGTGCAAGGTACTGTGAGACAAGGCAAGCTCCCTGCATTCAGAAAGTAAACAAGCCACAGGCAGACAGCTTGTGGTTCGGTGAGAGGCAGACAAACGGCCTTGGAGGAAATGAGAGGATGACACGGATGGGTGGGCAGGTCTCCCTGAAGAGGTGACATTTTAGCCATGATCTCAAGGGTGGCCTCCTCCAGGTCCCCCTGGCACTTGTCTTCCCTCTCTACAGCCAGAGAGGGCTTGCTCCCTAGCTTCCACTCCTGTGCCCTACTCCCTTCAGGTGCTCCACCCCTCCCCCTTCTTCCTGATCCTCCTTCCACCAAGCTCCACACAAGGGAACTCACGGCTGTTCACCCCTGTCCTTCTGCAATCAGCATCTCCCACACTTTCAATATGGTTCCACCTCAGGATGCCCCAGGACTCTCAGCCAGGCAAGTGCACATCCATGTTCACGTGACCAGTGAAAAAGCACTCACCCTCGCTCTCTTCTCCTCTCCATTGCAACTCAAGCCCTTCAAGCAACTCTGGAAATTGCCCATCCTCCTGCCTTCTACCAAGACCCTCAGCCAGTGTCATCCTTTCCTCCCCACACTGGCCTTGTGACCCATCCTTCCCAATAGATCTATACAAGGGCAAAGTCCAAAGTTTTTTCACAAAGTATCTGTGGGCTGGAGAATCTTAACCTCTGGATGTCCCAGAGGTTAAGAACATACTGCTCGCTGGGCAGTGGTGGCGCATGCCTTTAATCCCAGCACTTGGGAGGCAGAGGCAGGTGGATTTCTGAGTTCGAGGCTAGCCTGGTCTACAGAGTGAGTTCCAGGACAGCCAGGGCTACACAGAGAAACCCTGTCTCAAAAACAAAACAAAACAAAACACGTGATTGCATTTGTGAAAACCCACAACATTGTTGTCCATACTTATGTTTTTTTTTCACAAAGCAATCACACTGCACAAAGCACTGCTTCTTGACTCTCCTTCCCACAATGAACATAAACTGTACTTCATATTTTTTCCAGACGTGGAGGCTTATGCTTGTAAGCCCAGTACTTGGGAGGTGGAGGCAGGAGGATTGCCATGAATCTGATGCCAGCCTGGGCTACAGAGTGAGCTGCTGCAAACACACACACATGCACACATAATTTTTACTACAAAATAAAGTAAAATAAGAGTCTAAGAATATAGCTGTGCTGTTTCCTGGCGTTCACAAAGGACTGGGTTTGATCCCTAGTATCACATAATACCAGGCATGGTTGATGGCAGTGGCGGTGCACGCCTTTAATCCCAGCACTCCAGTGAGGCAGAGGCAGAGGGATCTCTGAGTTTAAGGCCAGTCTGGTCTATGTGCCAGAACCATCAGGGCTATACAGAGAAACCCTGTCTCAAACAAACAAACACCAGACATGGTTGAAGGCAGAGTATCAGAAATTTAAGATCATTCTTGATAGATAGATAGATAGATAGATAGATAGATAGATAGATAGTTCAAACTCAGCCTGGAATACACAAGTCATTGTTTTATTTTAAACATGCTTGAAAATAGAGCAAAGAAAGTCAAAATCAGCACAATACCCACTACCTGGGGCAATTACTACTGGCCAGCTTGCCTGCCACTCCTCCCTCCCCGCCTGCAAAGTCCCTCCTTTCACATGTCACCTCAAAGTTATCAACGACCTCTCTGATGGTCTGGATAGGAAGTCTATGGTCACCATAGACTCACAGATTCCAATGTTTGGTTAGAGGGGAGTGGCACTCTTAGATGGTGTGGCCCAGTTAAGGTAGGTGTGGCTTTGTTGGAGGAAGTATGTCACTGAGGGGTGGGCTTTGCGGTTTCAGGTGCTCAGGGTAGGCCCAGTGTCTCCCTGTTCCTGATGCTTGCCCATCCAGATGTAGAACTCTCAGCTACTTCTCCAGCAACATGTCTGCCATGACATGACGATAATGGTCTAACCCTCTGAATCTGTAAGTCAATCCCAATTCAATTCTTTCCTTTATAAGAGTTGCCAGTGGTGGTGGCGCATGCCTTTAGTCCCAGTACTCAGGAAGCAGAGGCAGGCAAATCTTTGAGTTCTAAGCCAGCCTAGTCTACAAAGTGAGTTCCAGGACCGCCAGGGCTACACAGAGAAACCCTGTCTCTAAGACAAAACACAATAATAAAAGAGTTGCCATGGTGCACAGCATGGTCTCTTTCACAGCAACAGAAACCCTAAGACAAGTCCCATTCTCACACAAGCTTCCCTTCTTTCCAGTGCCTTCCCTGTTGACAGCAGATGACACGCTTACTAACAGCTATTTTTAAATCTTCAGTTAGCATCAGGCAATTGAGACATCATCTCTCTCCCAAATCACCAAAGTAAGTCTGCACCAGAGAGAGACCAGTCTGTGACTATTAGGGAGCTTGATTTTGCATGGGAAACAGAGAGCCAGGTACTGATTTCCTCAGCTAACTGTATGGCCACCAAGTATGGAGGCATTTCTTAAGAAGGAGCTACTGTACCTATCTTGTAAGCACTGTTCCTCTCTCAACTGTTTCTTCCTCTACCAAACCATCTACTGTCCTAATTTCAGACTCTTGTTTGTCTCCTTTTCTCTCATGGTTTTTTTATCTCCTTTGTTCTGTTTTTAGCTGCCTCCACTTGCTTACAATGATGGTGAAGATATTCTCAATGGTGGAACCATACTTTCAATTCAGCAATAGAATCATTTCAAAGAAGCATGACAGGAAGGCTTAGAAAAGGCCAGGAGACAGAGCCACAGCGGATCTGGTGAAGGAAGAGTGATTTGTAAGATCAGTGAACTTTTCCCAAGAGAATGCATGAGATAGACCAGCAAAACCACATGTGCAAAGGCCCTGGGGCAGGAATCATGTTTTGTGACATCTCTTCCAGCTAATAGTCTATTTCTTTTGGTTCTTGTCTGCAGCATAGAAACAATGGGGGAGAAGGGTTGGAGAGATGGCTCAGGGGTTCATAGTACTGTCTGCTCTTCCAGAGGACCTGGGTTCAGTTCCCACAATCCCACATGGTATCTTACAACCTTCTGTAACTGCATTTTCAGGGGATTTGAAATGCCCCTCTGGCCTCTGTAGGCACCAGGCATGCACATGGTACACAAACATGCATGTAGGCAACATTCATACAAATAAGAAAAAATTAAAAAGTAGTATTTTTTTTAAAAAGCTCATTCAGGGGGCATTTGGGAAAGTACGGGAAAGGTTGTTGATGATAAGCTTCCATTGTTTGACAGTGACCAGAAATACACCTCTCCCTGGAGCTGCTCCAGAGTCTGGAAAAGTGAACCATTGTGTGATCCACTGTGACTCAGAGATGCCCATGTCCTACTGCCATCCAGCTTGTGTCTACCTTGGCACAGTTAACTTGTATAGTATCTATCAGAAGAACCAGACTGCTTGTCCTCCCAGCACACTGGGTCCGATCTCCCCAGGTGCCCCTTGCTATTCAGGGATGGGCTGAGAAAGCACTGAAAGAGAGACTTCAGAGGCAGTCTCAGATGCTACCTTTCTCTTCTTCTAGGAAACCAGAGCCTGGAAGGAGAGTTCTGTGGAGTGAAGAAGGGAAGGGGCTGAACCCAAGGCTGGGCTGATTTTACAACAAAATCCTACCTCCTAAGCACTCCCATAAGGTCTACAAGAACCCTTAGTTAGGTATGGCAGGCCAAACCTGACATCCCAGGTGTCAGTGGCTGAAATGGGAGGGCCTTTTGAGTGGGTCTCTAACTCAGTCTGGACAGCAAGGTAGTGGGAGAACTGAACAATAATATGAATATGAACATGTTTTCTATTTGCTGAAAAGCACAGAGAAAAATGAGTGTAGTCTTGTCAGCATGTGGGAGACTGAGGCAGGAGAACCAGGAGTTCAAATGCATCCTGTGCTATATTTTGAGTTCAAAGCCAGGCTGGGAACCATGGCACCCTGTCTAAGACACAAAGAAAAAAAAAAAAAAAGCAAAACCACCATAGTGACTCCTTTGGCTTCCAGCCCCTGAAACTCCAAAGGTAGTTTCCCTTCTTGAAAAAGCTAAATTTGTTGTCTGAGACTAGATCTTGGCTCCAGGAAGCTACACAAACAGCATTTTGTATTTTTGAGCCAAAACTTCTGCCCTAAAACATCCTCTGAAAAAAAGATTCTTGCCAGGTGGGGGGGGGGGGGGGATGGTGGCGGAACACACCTTTAATCCTAGCACTTGGGAGGCAGAGGCAAGTGGATTTCTGGTCAGCCTGGGCTACAGAGCAAGTTCTAGAACAACCAAGGCTAAACAGAGAAATCATGTCTTGAAAAAAAAGACAAAAGAAAGAAAGAAACAAAGAGAAGGAGAGAGAATTCTTTGGTTCTTTAAGAGACTGAAAGGCAATTATTTTAGAAGAAATTGGGGAGGTGAAATGCAGGAAGATCCAGCCTTCTCCCAACCTCCCAGCCCTCCCAGCCTCCCAGCCAAATGGATTCCTTATGGCTAGAAGTATTCCTTCCCGTAGGCAGGAACTGTGGGCAGATTCCCGCGCCTGCTCCCCAAGCTGTGCTAAAAGCTGGCTGCACAGAAGGACATGGAGGAATAGCCAAGGCTCCCCAGGCCTAGCCCAGGATCAGCATGAAGATCCTGAGATCTTTGGTGCCACCGTAGAATAACCAAAGAACCCGAGCTCAGGTAGAGGAGGTGGCTAGTGTGGGATCAAAACTCCCAAACTAGGAGGAGCCAACTCCAAACACTGCCTGTGTAGGCTGGGACCAGACAGACTTTTATGTCAATAGAGACATAAGATGCACACTGGACTTTGTGATGGGAGGGAGTAATTCAGAGTATTAAGAGCCAGCCAAAGTTTTGTGGGCATTCAGGACCACACCTGGGTATCCAGAGACCAGTCCTTCTAATTGCTCTCCTCTGCTATGAACTAGAGTTCCACAGCGCACTTGGTTGCAGTTCTTGCTCAAAACTCACTCAACTGAGTCAACTGAGGACCTGCCAAATGCAGTTTTCACCTGCATTCCTCCCTGATACTGACCCAGAAACACCTAAATGACTCCTGCTGTCCTCATTGTCTGGGATCTCTCGATACCTGTCAGATCCCACAAATACCCACAGCAACTCTTCTATCCTTCAGCACATACACACATCTAGAGTTCAGCATTTGGGATTCTAACTGGGGTCAGTGTTTCATACCATAGGAGGGAAAGCCCCTCCTTCCCACCGACTCTTTTCTCACATCCTCCAAATGCACACACTGAAATGTCCAAAGGGGCAATGGGGAGAGGCGAAGTCTGTTGACTGGGCCACCCAGAGAAGCCGCTGGAAGGATGTTCATAGAAGGGTTTGCGAGGTGTTTAATATACAGGCAGCAGAAACCTGGAAGACTTACAGGGGCTTGGCCACTAACTCCCTTGTGCACACAGGGGTCTATTTTCATCCCTCTTTTAAGATCCCTATGTACAAATTAACAAACATGAACTTTAAGCCCTGGGCCATCGACGTTACATCTTGAGTCATCACTCTATGATTCCAAAGTCCTAAACCCTAATGAATTCTATTGATTCTCATGCTAACGGTTTTTTTTTTTTCCAGCGTTTTCATAGTCGGTTATCGAGATTCTCTGGCACGGGACAAAGCTCTTCTTTGACCCAGTACAGCGCCCAGCTTCCACCACCTGTCCTTTTCTTTGCCGGTTCCCCTTGCGCTGCACCTGGCGCAGAAAGAGTACGGAATGCATTAGCTCGAGGGGGGTTCTGTTCCGGGGCTCACATCTGCGCTGCCTGCCAGCCGGCCGTCTGGTGTCCGAACAGTTGAAGGCGCTGCCTTGCCCACGCCGTGCTCCCCACACCAGCCCACCCCAGGCCCCGCGCCCGCCTTCACCTGCAGCCGGAAGCGCTGCACCGCCTTGTCCATGGTCTCCAGGCCGGCTCGCTGCTTCTGCCGCGCCCTGGTCACCGCGCCCTGGGCCGTCTGGCGCCTGGTCCATCGCAGGACCACCGCCGCCGACAACAAGCTGCAGGCTAGGCAAACCCCGGAGAGTCCAGACAGCGCGGTCCACACTTCGCTCAGCACCATGATCTCCAGCAGCCGACTGCCACCCGAGAGAACCCGGCACGCGCAAGCCAACAGTTCCGCTGCAAAACCCGGCCTGGATCGCCCGCGATTCCGCTTGAGGGAGGGGCAGGCGCAGCCGCGGGCCCGCGGGGAGCGCGCGGTTGCCGGGCAGCGAGAGCCACGCTAGCAGCTCCAACGGTCAAGGTCAAGCCTGGCCCCCTGCTGGCCTGGTTCCCGGCGTGCCAGCGTTTTAAGGCAGCTGAGCTCCACGTGGGCGCCCTCGAAATCACCAGAGCTGCTAGTTTCCTTTGACCCGGCCCTTGGCCATGTCTCCGCCCTATACACCCCACAGCTTCAACTCTCTCCTGGAAAACCTGGCTAAGCCAGGGCCCCCAGAACAGACCCGGTGCGTGCTGTGGACCTTAGCAACGTCTCAGCATCATTTTCCTGAGTTGTCGGGGTTGTGCGTGCAGAGCTGGATGTCCATCTCACCTGGGCTCTGGACTGCAGGAAGTTCTGAGGTGTCCACCAAGTGGCCTCTTTTTCTATCCACCCTCCAGACGTGTTTGTTGTTGTTGTTGTTGTTGTTGTTGTTTTTAAACTCTGGCCCTCTACCCACATCTTCTTCCTCATCCACTTCACACAGACTAACCCCATAGCTCATCCTCTCCATGGCCACACCCAGAAAACAACTTCCTCTGAACCAGAGTCCTCTCTGTCGATCTGGTGTCCATTCCTGGGGACCATAAATTAGGGCTATGCACACCCTAGTTGTGGTTAGATTGCTGTCGCAGAATTTTTTGTGACTCATTTATCCATCTAGAAATCCTGTGACAAAGGCATTTCTACTTGCACTTTACTAGTGAGGTAACTTGAGGATAAGAAGGGTTAAATGGCTTTTTTGAGTCACACTGGTGGATGCGGTGAAGATTCAGACTCCAGTCTTATTCCAAGCAGGTGCTTTAACCAGTAAGGCTGTGTTGCCACTGTTGCCTCTGGAAGTGAGGTACTGTGGGGTAGGGTGTCCCAGAACTCTGAATGGAAACTCAGAGTCCCTGGGTTTCTTTACCTTTGAATCTGATAGGGCAGTAATTATGCATACCTTAGAGTGTCAGGAGCCTATGAGGTTCTGTCATTAAGTCAATCTCTGTCTCTCTTTTCTTCCTCCTCCTCTCCCTCTTCCTCTTCTCCCTCCTCTTCCTCTCCCCCTCCTCTCTCTCCTCTCTCTCCTCCTCCTCCTCTTCCTCCTCTCCCTCTCCCCCTCTCCAACTCACAGAGATACACCTGTCTCTGCCTCTCCCCTAAGTGCTGGGATTAAAGTTGTGAGCAACTACACTCCACACTGGGCTTTCTTTTCACTGTAAAGGAAAACTACATCATTACCTTTTACTTCTTGTTTTCAGAGTAATTTAGCTGGGTGTGCCTGCAATGCCCCTAGAGATAAAGATGGGGGAGTGGTCATTTCTTAGCCCTAGTGGCCCAGTTTGTTGTGCTGCTGCCTGCTGCCTTAGGGACCCCATTTACAAAGCACCCCTTTGCGTTTGCTGTAATGATGGCTTCTTTAAGCACTGAATTCCTTGGGAACATATTAAATTGGATTTACTTTACAAAAGAGGTGGGAGTGGAGGTAGGAGTGGATTTGGAGGACTGAACAGCAAGCTCTGGGCTGGTGTAGAGGATCTGGTAGGCGGTCTGTGAGAGAGGGTCCCCCAATACATTTTCTCATTCTGTGATTCGGTCTTCCACAGACCCCTGCTACTGAATGACAGTCCATTGTGAGTCAGGGAAATGGAAATAAATCCAGACCTGATGACAGCCTTGGAAAGCAGGACATGTTGGTGCAGCCTTATAACCCCAACACTTAGGCTAGAGGGTTTCAAACTCAAGGTCAGCCTGAAACCTAAATATAGCATGACCCTGTCCCCAAAACCCCAAAACCAAACCAAACAAAACACCACCCAATTAAAAGATCATGCTGCATAAATCTAAAGAGTCCTGGATTCTGGCCCTTGGGTTGGAAAGCCAGGAATTCTGCATATAGCACTCTAGAGTTAGACTGTCTATTATCCCTCCTTGCATGATTTTTCTGAGCCTCAGTTTCCTTAATTGTAAAATAAAGATAAGAATACCTCTCAACACTCTAGCACTTGTATAAGAAATTAGTGGATGTAACAGTCACTATAGTCCAGCATGTAGCCACCCATGCATGTTAGCCAAAATTAGTATTGCTATTGTTAGAAAAATGAGTCCTACCGAGAGGGATTTTCTGGTCTGAGAGGCTCACGCTCAGGAAGCAGACTGCCTGGATTCAAACCCTAAATCTACTATTTACCATGACTCAAATCACATTACCCTCTTCTACCTCTTTCCTTCACTGTGAAATAGGAATAATACATAATCACAGAATTCTGTGAACATTAAGTTAGCTCACAGAAGGAGATTGCATTAGCATTTCACCAATGATAAGGGTCTGATGAATACTATCTCCTTTCTGACTGTGATGCAACTGTTTGGGAGAAGTCAGTGTGAAAGAGGTTTGCTCCATGCAAGCTGGAGCATGAAGCCTGGAATGGAAGAGCAGGTTCATGAGACACTCACTGGGGAGAGGGTTCCAAGGCTCTGTACCTTGGAAGGTAGCTGTGAGGTGAGGCAACAGCACAGCATTGTGGGATCCAGAACTGCAAGTCCCTCAAATTCCCTCCATTCCTTCATACACCACCACAATGGAACCTGGTAGCTTCTCTGAACAAGATCAGAGTCCTTCCCCAATTAATTGATGACCTTGAGTCAAGTTATGTGTGTTTCAAACATCAACTGAGGACACAGGTTAATACTTCCCTAAGCTCCCTTGGAGGTGGGGAGAGGCAAGTCTGTCTGCCCAGGGATAAGAGAGCCCCTCAAAAAAGTCAGCTGTGCATATTCCAGAGGGTTTTGAAATCTGTCTTTGTTCTGGGAGTTGGGGGAGGGTTTGGGAGTTTTTGGTTTGTTTTGTTTCATTTTGTTTTATTTTTTGGCTTTTAGAGACAGGGTTTCTCTGTGTAGTCCTGGCTGTCCTGGAACTCACTTTATAGAACAGGCTGGCCTTGAACTTTGAAATTCACCTGCCTCTACCTCCCAAGAGCTGGGATTAAAGGTATGAGCCACCACAATGGGCATGTGTGTGTTAATTGTTCTTCTCCCTTTCATTTCTGTGAACTTTTTAGGGGTTACAGAGGAAAACACAGACACACACATACCACACACACATACACACACACAGACTCAGACATAGACACAGGCACAAGGAGACAGCAGGTCTTGCTGCAAAGGATAGCTGTGGGTTCTTTTAATATATATTTATATTAGTGTATGTTGTATATATTATTGAGACATAATTAAATCATTTCCTTCTTCCCTTTTCCCCTCCAAATCCCATGTATTCCTTTTGTTCACTTTCAAATTTATAGCCTTTTTTGTTACATACATATATGTGTGTATATATGTTCCTAAATACATGAATATAACCTGCTCTGTCTAAATTGTGTTATTCATATGTATGTTTTCAAGGCTAACCATTTGGTATTGGAAAACCAACTAGTGTGCTCTTCCCTGGGAAAGACTTTCTCTCTCTCTCAGCATTTTAGTTGCCTCTAGTTCTTTCTCTAGAGTTGAGGCCTTCTCCTTAGCATAAGGTGTCATCCTATGGCTGTGGCTTTAATGTGTGTTACTCCAAAACTGGTATGTTGAGACCTAATTAACAAGGTATTAGAAGGTGGGGCTTTTCAGGGAAGTGTTAGCTCAGGAATAATCACATGAAGAATATATATATATTTTTTAATATAATTTATTTTTTTTTCAAATTGTAATTTATACTCATTCACACAGGGGTTATAAACACAGAAAGGCAGGATGTGGGGAAGGGGATGACACTGGAGTGTGGGTGTTCAGGGGGAATACAGATATCTTCAGAACCGGGTATCGGCTAGGTGAAGGTTCAGGGGACAATTCACTATGACTCTGTCTATGACTCGCTTGTCTTTATCTAAGTTGGTATTGTCTGCCAAGGCTACCTACCTACAAGGTCTATGACTACTCAGGTTTATAAATTTCCACAAAAGAATATATTTTTAAAGACTTGTTTTTATGGTTTTTATTTATGTGTGTCTGTGTGGGTTAACTGGTGTGTGTGTGTATATATGTGTGTGCCTGTAGAAGCCAGAGAGGTTGCAGGATCCCTTGGAGCCGGAGTTCAAAAAACCTGTGAGCCACCCCGATGTGGGGGTACTGAGAATCAAACTCAGGTCCCTGTGAAGGCAGTATGCGCTCTTAATATTGATGAGCCGTTTGTCCAGCCCCAACTATATTAATAACCTTATAAAAGAAATGCTGGAATAAAGAGAATGAGGTAATAAAGGGGTCTAGGGATGGGGCATGGCTCTAACAGAGCGCCTAGCACGCATAACAGGAGAGCTGCCTGCTGCCTTCAACATAGCGCTCTTCATTTGCCTCTTCTGCCATTTGAGGAAGCAGCAACAAGATGCCACCCACAGGCCAGAACAAATCCCTGCTGAATGCCAAATCTACGCCTTGATCTACACTTCCCACGTTCTTAAGAACTGTAAGGAAAGTTTTCTTCTTTGTAAATTACCCAACCTTAGGCATCTTGTTAGAGTAGCACAAACACTAATACTAGAACTTCCAGCCCCAGATGTAAAGTAAGAGTCACACACAGAAGCACTGTCAGTGCGAGCTGCTTCCAAGTCACAAGGCACTGTCGGGTCTTTAGACCCAGTCTGGGGCCTCTCAGTACCCTTCTGAGTTTGGAGTTTGATTTCTGTGCTATAGTGATTATGAAATGGCTCCAATAAAGCTGGGAGCAGTGGCTATAATCCCAGCATTTGGGAGGTAGAGGCAGGAGGCCCAAAAGCACAAAATCATCCTGAACTACAGTGTAACGGGCTATTTTATATAGCCCAGGCTGGTGTTGAACTAGTGAGCCCCCTGCCCATGCCTCCTAAGTGGTAAGAGTACCCCAGCACAAACAGGGAACAAGCCCAATCTAGTGTGCTGGAGAGAGTTTAGCAGAGCCTAGTGAGAGCCCAGTTCTACCTGCTCAGCTCCTTACACAGCACAGATTAGCCAGGCAGGCAGAGCTACAGACATGAGGGTGAATCTCACCAAGCCCAAACGAGCTAGCAGAGCCACCCGCTAACCAACCCACAGACACAATAAAACCTACAAAACCTTACAAAACACTAGCTTAACTGGACATAATGGTCTATACCTGTCCTCCCAACAAT